AAAAATCCCGTCCAGCTGCCAACGTCATGTCAATACACAATTACACCATACAGCAGTAATGTCTGTCAACTGCTTATCGAATTTCAGCGCTTTGAGTTGCGCACCCCAACCGCGGACACAGCCTCGGCCACACTGACCTGCACCGACTCCTTTTCGGTGGGCGGCTACACACTGTGTGGAGAAAATAATGGTCAACACTTGTATTTGCCATTCAATGTGGCAGCTGGTGCTTCACAAATCTTATTGGACTTCAGTTTGCCCACACAATATTCACTATCCACATGGTACTTGGTGGTCACACAGCTAGAGTGTCCAGCGGCGAAAAAACGCGTTGGTAATGGCGTTTTGCTGCCCTTTATGGGCCAAACAAATCTACAGGATTTGCGTACGATTTTCTCTACAAAGCATAGCGATTTGGATTTATTAGCACCACCCGGTTGCTTGCAGTACTTCCGAGATCCGGCGGGCCAAATTAAAAGTTTCGGAAGCGACTACTATTTGGCAGATATGAAATATACAATCTGCATAAAACCATTGCCAGGCACAACGATGATTGAGTAAGTCTTTAAGAATGCGCAAGTAAGCAACTCTTTGTGTGGCCAAATAATTGCGATTTTTTTTGTTTGATTTAGGTATACTGTAAATAGATTTTCGCTTTCCGCGGAGCAAGATGGCCTATACTATGACGAATCTTGCCACCCAACTATATACACAGAGGGTCGGCAAAACGACTATCTGATGATACCGAATGCGATGTTCAGGGATAATATGGATTTCCAGCCGACTTACTACTGTGGACTGGGTCTAACAACAAGTCAGGTGCTAGTTGGTGAGTACCTAACGACGTTGCTGCGCTAGTAAAAAAAAGCAATCTAAATTTATGAACGGTTTTAATATTTCTAGCAACTGCGCCATATATTATGTATTTCTCCAGCGATAGCCAGTGGAGCTCAGTTGAAACAGGTTTTAGTATATCGTATGTTGTAAGGACGACAATAAACTGATAATAGTGGCGATGTTTTCATTATATGAATGCGATAACTGTGTATTTTTTTTTTTACAAAATTGGTGTTTTTAAGCAATGAAATCTATGTGAAAATAATAAATCTATGCAAAAAAATGTTAATATTGATATCATAGATCATGGAAGGACGAATGGGATGTATATATGTACGTATGTATGTACTACATAAAAAAAAATCACAGAAATGAGAACACGACTATGCCTATGTTTTACGGTCTAACACAACACCTTTCATAGTCTGCATATATACAAGAATTATTTTTGCATGTCATGTCCGCTCTTTAAATAAAAAAAATCCTGTCGAAAAATGTTATTCAACATCTGCAAAGGTGGTATTTAGTATATGTACATAAACAGACAATACACCAAAAGGAAAGAACTAACCAAAAAAATACAATATAATCATAATCATCAATATTGAACCTTGAGTAATTAATTGATATTCATTTACATGTAAGTACTTACTATATTCAGATAATTAATAGTATATGTATGTATATATATCTACCAATTTTTCTATGATGATGGATCTAGATTCTAGAACGAATAAAAGTGCAAAAGCCGCATTATACATATGCATACATACATACATAAATAGGTACTTTCATCCGCCGTTACATACACTGACTTTGCCGCAAGAAATTTTAGCGAAAGCAAAGAAAAACTCGAAAGAGGCTGGGGTAAATAAATATAAGTGCAAATACTTCTAAAATAAATTAGGAAAACGCATTAACGCACTTCTAGGCAGTGACATGATTATCCTTTTAGTAGTAATTAACTACTAACCGCATCAAGTGTTGGTCAACAATAAAAGGGGAAAGGTATAAGGGAAAACTTAATTCGACGACAAGTCGTTGGACTACAAAAATTTAAAGCAAACATACATATAAATATCTACATTATTTTGTAATAACGAATTATACACTCTAATATCATGGAAATTAAAAAAATTTGTAAATTCATTGAATGTCTATTTAGTAAAAAGATTATTCGACTTACCGATACGACATCGAACCAAAAGTATTGGTATAGTCTTCGTTCAAATTATCATTCTAATGGAACCGGGTTCGAAATCTTGCCTCTATTTATAATAAAAAAAAAATTTAACCTATTTATTTCAAACATGGCGCTTAAAAGTTCCCTTGAGAATAAATATTTGTTTCTCTAATCTATATCTATATATATAATACGCGAAGGGATTTTTTGTGCAGGTCATTAAATTCGGTCGATTTTCAAAAATTAGGTGTAAAAATAAAGTGCTTGGGCTGTAGATGTGCAATAAGGTTTTACTTTTCCGAAGAGAGTTGCTGCCTGTGCAACAATTTAACTCAAATTATTTAGTAATCAATGCCATTAAATCCCCACCGTTCGTTCGATTGCTGCCTAATCAAAATCTTTCTAAGAATTCTTATTAATACGCCCGAAGGTTTGTTGATTTTTCCTTAAATATTTATATGCGTACAAAAATGATTTCTTGTATAATGGCAATTCATGTGGAAAAATAAAAAAAATAAACTTTAAAACAAAGACAGAAAATAAAATATTTAAAAACAATCACAATGTGATACGTGTAAATTCATTTATTTCAATTGTGATTTTGTAGCGCAAGACACGAGTGACCCATCGTTACCCCTTAAAGGTGCCGAATAGCACGTTACCTCTCAAGGGCTAGTGATGGGGTTTCGGACGGGACCATTGTGTGATTGGTATTCAAGCGGTAAGACAAGGCATTTCAACTGATCCCTTTTGTATCAGCTGTCAAGAGGAAGATGAAGTAGAATCAACTCCACACTTTCTTTTATACTGTCCAACCGTTGCGAGGCTAACATGGCAGCATTATTTCAGCATTACAACATGGAAGCTTTATTTCTTTGATCTATGAAATATTTAGTTGGTCTCATTATCTATCCATGACTACGGAGTCGAAGAGTCGTTTTGTTCGACGGTTCGGGATTTTACAAAGTTCCTGTGCTTTTTCTTCTTTAAGGCTGGTATGCAGCTCTCAAGAAATCGGTCAAGACAAAAATTTCCATTATTTCGTGTGTGTGTCCAAGGAATTTTGACATTTTTGATACTTCACAGCCTGTTGCCTCACTCTTTCCTCAAGAAATAATGGAACGGGCATATATTTCTGTTGCACACCTGGGTTGCCTTGTGCTCTTTTTTCACAAAAAAACTTTAGAAAAGCGTAGTAAAAAGCGTAGCAAATTTCTTAAGAACTGCGTACTGCCTGAAGGAAATTTGACTCAAGAAAATTTCTTAGCCATTTCTTGTACGTCAGTTTGTATGTAATTTCAGCTTTTCTTGAGAACTGCATACAGGCCTTTACAATTTAATTTATTTCCATTTACATGCGTACATACCTACATACATAAGTATACTTTAATAATACCGCAGTCACACACCATTGAGAGCAGGCGCCAATTATTCTAAGACAGCGATATAGTCGATAAAAGAGCACACCGCTTTTATTACTAGATGTGTGTGTGTGTGCGTATATGCGATTGGCCCAAGAACACGCTCGTACTACGCAAATATGGCGGCGAAAGTGTTAATTAAAACACTTAGCACAATTGGGCGGAACTTTTTTTTTTTTGCCGCATCGACAAACATACATATGTACCAGTACTTCTTTTGCATTGTATTCGTGTAAACAGTACTTGTAGGAATGTGTTTTGTGCGAGTGTATTAATTCGTGGGCGGATGCGCTTCTGTAGTAGCTAACAGAAGCATTTAACAGACAATTAACAGTTGATCGGTTTAAAACTAAGTTTATGTTAGCGGCAGTAGCGTGGCTTGGTTGCACGATATATGTACATACATATGTATGTATGAATGTGTGAAATACATACTTGCGTGTAGAAATGTATTTACATATATAAGTATGCCTGCATATAAGTGGAGATGTATGATTTAATACAGCTACGTAGACCCGTTGAATTAATTATTTTATATGAAGTGGGTTTTCAAGGCCAATGTAGGTCATATTCACACATACATATATATGTAGATTTTTATGTATATATAAGTATGTTTCTATTTCTATACTTGACTAATTTCTTGCTGCTGGTAAATATGGCCTACAAAGCTTTTGTAGAAATTGCTAACAACAGTAAATGTTAATGATACACTTCGCTGCAATTTGTTTGTTCGTGATTAAGAAATATAAAAATGGTATTTTGATCCAACGAGCTACTGAAGTGAAACTTCTTCTTCCTTTATTGCCGCCCGTATTCCTATATTTC